CCATGTGAAATGTTCATGATTGATATCATAACTTGTGTTTTAATATAGTCATAACACGGTTATGATCGCAGCATTTATTTATTTAATACTGATTTGTGTTTGTGCACATTGCTGGAACTGGTATTTCTATTACATGTGTTCTTTGTAATAGCGTGGTCACCATTATAATTGTATTCTCCATTGTTATGTGTTTATTTTATACCACAGTTTCCAAGCTATATTGTAATTTTACAATGATTAATATTGTAACTTATTATGGCAGGGGTTCCCAAACTTTTCAGCCCACGATTCCCAAAATAACAATGCCAGTGACTCGTGCCCCCAATATCCTCTGAGGTGGTTATAAATACAGAAACCTTGCATGCAATGACGCAGACACACCAATTAAATTTGTGTCAGTGCTTTAAATGTGCCAGAAAGTATAACCTGATGTTATAAAATCAAAATGCATCTGACGCTATTGCTGCCTTTAATATAATGTAATTACCCCAGGGGTCGCAATCCAATAGAACTAGTAACTATAAGCTACTATAGTAACTATATAGTATATAGCAACTATAAACCACTATTTTTATTTTCAGTATAGTTATGGATAAAATATGTTAATTCTTATGGTTTAATAAAAATAAATCAATTTTTGGAAATCACCAGGCGACCCCCCCCCCTTCATTGCCCCGCGACCCCCACTTTGGGAACCACTGTATTATGGTATACCTTTATGGCAGTAACATGACCACTTCTGTATGGTGTTTCCATTATTGTTAGCTGTTTTTTTTTAAAAATATAGTTCTAACTTATTAGGGATGCTCTGATCGATCAGTAGCGGCCAATAATCACATGTAGTGACTCAATCGATATGTCATGAACTGATAGCGGGGGTTTGTTTATGAGTTTACAAGCATAGGAAGGATGCACATGCGCTCCCATATATTATGCATAGCCTATGCATAATAGACAGATCAATGTGCTTGCATCACAACAGCTAAAATGCATACAGATGCGGCGCGACCTGGTTATACAGTCTATTGGTGTGACTCGCATGAGTTATGGTCTCTTTGTTGCTAGTGCAACCATTGTATTTGAAAATATTTGAATGCATGTATTTACACCTTATTTAAGTTAACTAAAAGCTGGCGGGAATTATTAGATAAATAAAACTTTAAATATTTATATATATTTGGTATATATAAAGGGCCTTTTGGTACCCTTTTGTTGTGCTAGGTACCCTTTGCAAAGGGTAAGTGGTACAGTAGGGTTTGCTTTTTGGTAGCTTTTGACAGTGGAAACGGCCATATAAATGTACCATACCATACCAATCAGTGGAAATGGGCCTTTTAATAACTGTTGGTGACTTTAAAGTAAAGTCAGGCTTATATTTATACCATGGTTGTCATTGTAATTTATGTTAACACCATGGTTACCAAGACAACTGAAGTATCCATAATAGTAATTCTGTTACTAGGGGTGTAACGGCTCACAGTTGATCCGTGATTTGTACGGCTTACTGTTGGTTCGGAACAAACGTGACCTGCGGATTAATCAGTTATTTACTTGTAGATTAATCCTAAATTTGTAGCGATCGCCGAGAGATCACCTCTCGCATCATACAAATCACATGTACGAAAGCATTTCGGCTTACCTGTAAAATATAATGATGTTGGAAGAAGTTCATTCGTTCATTCATTTTTTCATCAGCCCTTTATTAATCCGTGGTCGCCACAGCGGAATGAACCGCCAACTTATCTAGCACATTTTTACACAGCGGATGCCCTTGCTGGAAGAAGTTGTGCTGGGTTATTAGGATGTGGTGGGTTTCTTAGGTTATTAAAGGCGTTTTCTGTCATCTTTAGCCTGCATTAATGTATTCAGTGTATTAATCATGAGAAGATCGGGATCTCAACACCCACGCAACATACATTATAAATGATGCTGATTTGCATTAGGGTTGAGCGATGTCGACCAATTTGGCATCGTACGATGTCTAATGTGAAACATCGCGATAGACGATGACATCATCGTCGTAGGCGGGGTGTGGGGGGTCGTTGTTAAATATCAATTAAATCATAACAAATTAATTAATTGTAGCTTACCGTTTTCACTACCTGACCCACATGGTCTTTGCGTTACCCATAACCAAACCATGAATAAATAAAGTTACGCACAATTGACCAGCTGTCAATCACTCTTTTTCCGGGGGACTCTGGCATGAATAGGCAGTGATCTGTGTCGATCTAATGGATTTTCCCACAGCTGGTGGAGGAGACGAGAGTTCGTTTGGAGTTCAGTGTAGTGCATACACTTCACTGTTTTCACTGCAAAATCCTCACCGCCTGCGCTGATTTAGAAGACCTTTATGCATCTTTACTCCTAAAAACGCCAAAGAGGAGCAGATAAACAGCTGTTAAGTGAACTTGCTGAAGTCAAAAAAAGCCCACAATGCTTGCCCCGCCTTTGTGCTCTTCTTATTGGCTCACAGCTCTGGAACTGAACACGAATGATT